AACAAACCTGCCCTGCTAATTTTCACATTAGGCGAAAGGCTTGTTTTCATTTTTTTTTTTTTTTTTTTTACTTTCTTATTGCGTCTTAATGTGGGCCCCAACCTTTGCTCCTGGGTAAGTAATGGCGGTTTGGTCAGCTGGGCACTGGGGAGCGGGGTTTTTTTTTTACGGCCTGGCGGAGGGATACAGCTCGTTTGTCGGGTTTTCGGTCTGACGGCATGAATGAGGGCAGTGATGGCGGATTAGCGTGGCGCACTAACGAGCAGGGCCTAAAATAACAGGACGGAACAGGCCCCGGCTTCCTCGGGAAGACGAAGGGGCTCTGTGCGGGGAAGTAAATCAAGCAGGAAAGCAAGGAGAACCACGATGAGACGCCGCCGTCGGATTTATGGGCACCGTAAAAAGCTCCTAATGGTCCCGGTTTCCGTCCCCAGACTCCAGTTCCCCGCGTCTCTCCATCTAAAATTGTAACATTGACCACTGACCTTTTTTCTATCTCGCCCTCGTTGTCGTGCACAGAACCAGCCTCACGCTATTTGAATGTTAACTCCTAATATTGTGCGATCACTGGTCAGATATTTTATGACTAACAGCCCTTCAGTTTAACAGCGTTTTTCCCAAAAAACGATGTTTTTAATTCACTCGGTTGAAGGAGTATATTTATCTACTCTGTCCCTTTTATGAAGTTCACTGTGATCCGGTTTTAGTGAAATCAAAGGAAATTATTTCAACATTGTGGACTGAGCAGTGTGATTATTCTGTGTTATAGGTGTTATGGCTATCTCATAATTTTTTGTCTCTAATTGTGAGTCCAGATGATTTACATTAATAAAGGAGAACTATTCTGCTCAGTCTAATATTAGCTGTACAGATAATATTATCTTTAAGATGGAAATCTGAAAACTAAGATACTATAATTGAAAAAAAAGAAAGAAATTTAAGTACATATATGGTTGAGTAAGAAAATAGATAAAAAACGAAGGCAGAAAAGGAACTTACATTACCCACATTTCATAAATTTAGAATAGAAAATCAGGTAATAAAGTCCTAAAACCAATCGCAGTGCTCATTAATCTGTTTTCTTTTCTTCATTCATGGCATTGCAGAGGTAATGTTTCAAACGAGCTCTCTGTTTTGTGTGACTTTAAGTCTCTCCGCCTGTCTCTGTGCCAGGACTGGCCTGGAGGCCATCATGGAGACCTACGCGTTCTGGAGGCCTCCGGTGAGGACCCTCACGTTCGAGGACTTCACCAACATGCAGAAACAGCAAGGTGTGTGCACGCCCCGCCATCTCAACCTCACCCCAACTTAGTCCCACCGAGTAGAAACAGACGGGAGAATGCTTCTAGAGGGAAATCCACCTGACCGTTTTGGGCTGGTGGACAATGGCTGTCCCGACCTGAACCCCTTTGCATACTTTCCCTGCTTATATCACCGCTTTGCGACCCCCAAAACCTCACCTCGGGAGTGGGTGACTTAGTCACGGCTCACTTCAAGGGGGCCTCGCCGACTTTACAGAGACTTTGTTTCCCGTTGGACGGCTCTGGGGGTCAGCGTGATGTCATCATGCCTCGCGTTTTATCCGAGCGGCCTGACGTCTGTTTGCTATCCAGAAAAAAGCCTTCCCCGGTGATTAGGATTTAATTAAAGTCCGTCCACTGCCAGTGAACTCTCCGTCACTCCGAAATTACGCGGTGAAAAGTGCGTTCACTCTATTTGCATGTGCCTTTTTGGCGCCGGTCAGCCTTTCCCCCTTCAAGTCGGAGCACCGGAGCACCTCCAGCCTTGTTAATTAGAGGGAAAACATGACATCACCAGTTATTGTTCCCGCTTATTTTCCTCCGTCCGCACATGACTACCTTTCTTTTTTCTTTTTTTTTTCCGCCCGAACAACCTTCCAACCCTTCTATCTCTTCGAGCGGAGCGCAGAGCCGCGGGGATATTATCAAAGGCATATGGCGCAAAAATCAGATCTCCAGCCAAGCCCCAGTCCTGGATTATTTCGTTATGCCTCCTCCTCGTCGTAATTTCAAACTGAATTTCTCCGACCCCCGGCCTGAGCACATGCCAAAGCCTCATTAATAGAGGAGTGCTGAACGGGATTGAAATTTCTCTGCTACAGTTTCACCCTGAAAGACTGGACTGGATGGGGGGATGTCATATATACCGTAAAAGCTAAATATGTATAAAAATATGTGCATGTAACGGCGTATAATTATGACTTTATAGTCAATTTATAGTCAAAACTGACTTTATTTCCAAATGGCAGCCATATATTTAGCCATTCTGCACATGATTGTATTGTATGCAGCACAGTTTCTAAAGTCAAAGCAGTGTTATAAACTGTGCTGGCAGCAGGTGAATTTAGCATGTGCCTAGCTGTGTTGCTATTCCTTTTTTGCATTTTTTCCGGATTATCCTTCAATTAGAATAGAGCAGGAGGATGGCTTCTGAAGTAGAGTAAAAGAACACACGCTAACAACAGATTATTTTGATTAAACATGTTGGGATTGTGGAATTTTAGTCCACATCATGTTTGGGTTTTGAGGTTTTTTATGTGTTATAGCTAGCGCTTAAGGATTCAGAGCCTTCAAAACGTTCCACTACTATTTAACCACATTGCATCTTGAGTTTAAAAAATTCTAATGTTGAACTTCTGTCGTATAAATCTGTATTCCAGGTGGCAGCACGGGCACCTCGCCCACCACCTCCAGCACGGGCACGCCGTCCCCCTCGGGCGCCGCCCACCTCCTGTCCCCCTCCTGCTCGCCGCCCACCTTCCACCTGGCGCCCAACACCTTCAACGTGGGCTGCCGGGAGAGCCAGCTGTGCAACCTGAGCCTGTCGGAGTACCCGGCGTGCGCCCGCGGCAACATGGCGGCGCTGCAGGGCTACGGCGGCCTGGCCGACGGCTCCTACGGACGCCTCCAGGCGGCGGCGGCGGGCGTGGCGGGGGGGGGCGTGGCGGGCGTGGCCTCGGCCCAGCCCGGCGAGTCCTTCCTGCCGCAGAGGACTTCCTCCCTGATGCAAAGCGGCGTGGGCGTTGGCGGGGGCGGGGGTAACGGCGGCGGCAAGATGGACGCCTACGGCGGGCAGCTGGGCTCCTTCCCGGGCTCCCAGCTGCAGTACGTGATGCAGGCCGGCGGCAACGCGGGCGCCGCGGCGACCGCCTCCTCCTCCTCCTCCCCGTCGGGGTCCTCGCCGTCCTCCGGCCACATGTTCGGCGGCGGCCACCACCACCACCACCACGTCCAGCAGGGCTCCTACAACGCCTTCTCCCTCCACAACCCCTACAACCTGTACGGATACAACTTCCCCGCCTCCCCCCGCCTGGCCGCCAGCCCCGAGAAGCCCCAGGGTGGCGGGGGGGGGGCTGCTCTGCTCCCCGGCCCCCGCCGGGGCCTTCGCCGACCGCCAGTACCTGGCCAACGGGGGCGTGGACGCGATGCACATGATCGGGAACGCCGCCGGCGGCGGCCAGCAGGGCGGCGCCTCCTGCGACGGACGTCAGTACGGATCCTCCAATCAGATGTCCATGCACATGGTGTAGGAACTGGGTATCCCCCACCCCATTAGAAGCAAATATCCAATCCGCAGAGGTTGGAGCCCGGTGTTGCTACGTCAACATACCACGAATCCTATCAGAAACTCTCCGAAAACGGTTACCGAGTGAGTCCAAACTACTTGTTAACTCTCAAAGTGGCAGTAAGGAAAAAGAACGGGACAGCATCTTCAAACTTTTCCGTTATATTCCGTTAATCCAGATCAGGGCGGCGGTTGGAAAGAGAGCATGGTATGGTGCAATAATAGCAGCGGCCCCTTCAAACGACTCATTCTTATTTTCTTATGGACTCACAAACTGGTCTTCATGCCATCCTGTAAACAAAGAGTCTTCACTGTGATCCAGAAGCTATTACTTGGACGAGAAGCTAGTACTTGCAGCACTTGGGGTTAGAGGTGTTAATAGGTCAACGGTTTGATGTCCAGTTTTGGTTTTTTTTAAGTTGGAATGAAAGGGACGACTGGACAGGACTCACCGCTCCACATTCAGGATGGACGGGATGTATCTGGACGCTGGCTTTGATTTACCGAGGAACTCCAGCAGACATGTACAGTACACAAGATATTACACTACACCAAACAAATGAGTCTTCTTCATGAACTGGAATTGTTTCACTAAGTTTGAGCGAATTATGTTTTTAAGCATATACATATATTTACATGTATGTATATGTGTGTATATATATGTATATGTACATATATGTATACATACATACATATATATATGTATATATATATATAATAGTTGGCGAATGCAATAGATAACATAAGCTTTAAAAGTTGTTGTGTGAAAAGTTATAAAATAAGCAATAGCAAAGAGAGTAAAGTATGTTGTGGTGTGTTTAGAGATGTGTATTTAAGTGCAGAGCTACATAGCAACTTTACCACCCAATCTATTACCAAAAAAAAGTGTGAAAAGGGGAAGAAAAAAAAGGAATTCTTTTTTGAAGCATTTTGAAAAAATGTAAATACAAGTGCCAAGCACGTAAAATCCCAATAAACTTACCACTTCATGTAAATGAACAGGATGTTTTTTTTTCAGCTCTAGGTTTACATTTAAACACAATTTTCCTGTGAGAGAAAGAACAACTGAAAAAAAAATCCACAATGGTTTACTGATCATCTTCCGAAAACTGACTTAGTGGGTTAATATCACCATGTGATGAAGGGCTGCATCCTAAAATATGAAGAAATTCAATTTCTATTAACAGTTCAGTGTGATGTTTACACAGGTTTTTCTCCTCTGTTTAATTTCAAAATAATTCCTTTGAATATCAACAGTAAAACACCATCAGAGCCACTTTTGGACTCCCATTAAAAGGATGTTTGTGTTATTATTTGTAAAAAGTCGCACACTCTGAGAGGAGCATGCAGCAGAAAGCAGACAAACGGTGATCAAAATAAGCAGAATGCTGCTAAAAAAGGAAAATACAGGGAAAAGACACCATTTTCTTTGACAGTTCCAGTTTTTAAATGTGTCATTTAGGGCTGGCAAAGTCTTCAAAACAGAATTTTGATTTATCATCTTTAGATTATCTTTTGACAACCCTTTTTTTAATAGTATGGCCAGCCACAAGCAGAGATATAACTAAGGAAACTCTACTGTGTCAGAGAACTATCTAAAATCTGTATCCAACAGAGCAGGTTTGAGGAACATGTGGCGTCTGCAACAGGTCGTGACAGTTCAGTGGATGTTTTTTGCTCTTGGCCGATCAGTCACAAGGGCTCTGCAGAAACCCATTAAAAGAATGATTCATATTTTTCTCGGGCTGTGAAAAAATTCACAGGAGTTATCAATAAAGAATGAAAAATGGTGCTTGTTTTAATCCACGGATGTTGTTTGCATCCGTGCAGGGTATCTATGGGAGCTGATGTACCTGTCAGTCCAAGCTGGGAGGGATAAAACCAACAAAAAAGGCACGGCCATTAATCACAGGAGTGCACACATCTGCTCCGCTCCACATCCCAGACGCAGGCTTCAAACACTTACGCGATGCATCCATCATAAACCAAACGGGGAGGAAAAAGACCCAAATAAGACACATTTTCTCTCTGCTATTTCTGTTTATCCAAAAAAATGACAAAATTTAAAAGTTGAGGCAAACATGGCACCTGTAAAAACAGAAATCCCCCTTGTAATTACTCAAACCTCTAAGAGAGTGAAAACACGAGGCGTTCAGGGTCCCGTCCTCCGTACGGGAGGCACCCCAGCTCGGGGATTTCGTTTTGCCAATCAGCGTCCATTTCACGGATGTCTTCTGAACAGCTCCCCTCAAATCACATCCCATCATGTGTGCGGCCGCAGCCAGGAAATATCATATCTGAAGCATCATCAGGGAACGGAGGGGGGGGGGGACCAGCTATTGAAAACACCTGTTTCTCCAAGCATGACTTAAAATAATGAGCAGGGGGATGATCCGGGGAGAAGCGCATGATTTCATAATTTGGCTTTTTTCCAGTAATTGTCCACGTTATTTGCCTGATGTGCCGTGACCCCCTGGTTCCATTGATATTCAAAACTATCCCGTAGCCTCCACAGGTTTTGTCTACACCACAAGAAAATGGATTGTAAATTATTCGTAAAAGATGCGTGCGTTTTTAAATGGAAGCTAAAAAGAGGGGGTGGGGGGTATAACCTAATGCACAACAGGTCTGATTGTGTGTCATAAACCATCCATCAGAACTTCGAGTGGAAAAGAAGGGTCACACTTTCTTTTATTTTTGCCGTATCTTCAGCTTTATTAGAAGAAAAAAAAACTCCACTGGCTGATTAATGAAAGACTGTGGCGGGCTAACCACAAAGCTAAAGGAACCGGCTGAGTATTTTAACGAGGCCCTCTGACAGAGATGCCTCCTAGAGCTGGTTCTGGTTCTGAGTGACAGCATGCTGACTGGAAGGTATCCCGTCTCAGCCATTGATCTGTCCCCCTCCAGCACACTTCATACGTTTTAAGAGACTCAGATACGGCTCTCTGGGGAACTTTACTGGGTGCAAATCGGGCCGAGGAAAGCCATGAAGAAAGACTCTGGAGATCGGCCAGTCTGGTTTTCAGACAGACTCTGAGTTTAGAACAGACACTTTGATCAGAAACTCTCGGTAAAAGATTGCCCTCTTGTGTTTAATCCTCTCTTATAGATGATGTTGTTTAGCTTGGCTCGTTGATTGCTGACGGGAGATGTAGACCCGCTTTTCCTCCGGGGTTACGGTGTGCCTGACGTGTGTGGAGAGGCTCAGAATAATTGTTGTTCTGCACGGGGCTCTTCACACTCCTTCAGCCACCTCACACCAGAGGGGCTTTCTCCAATTCAAAGATGGATGGAAACATCATAAACATGTCAAGTTGAAAAAAAAAACTACATTTTTATATACAGGATCTGGAGAAAGGACTCACCTACCTACCTACCTACCTACCTACCTACCTACCTACCTACCTACCTACCTACCTACCTACCTAGCTACCTACCTACCTACCTACCTACCTACCTACCTACCTACCTACCTACCTACCTACCTACCTACCTAGCTACCTACCTACCTACCTACCTACCTACCTACCTACCTACCTACCTACCTACCTACCTACCTACCTAGCTACCTACCTACCTACCTACCTACCTACCTACCTACCTACCTACCTACCTACCTACCTAGCTACCTAGCTACCTACCTACCTACCTACCTACTTACCTACCTACCTACCTACCTACCTACCTACCTACCTACCTACCTACCTACCTACCTACCTACCTAGCTAGCTACCTACTTAGCTACCGACCTACCTACCTAGCTAACTACCTACCTAGCTACCTACCTAGCTACCTACCTATCTATCTATCTATCTATCTATCTATCTATCTATCTATCTATCTATCTATCTATCTATCTATCTATCTATCTATCTATCTATCTATTTGCATTTTATAACTGAAAAAAAACAAACTTCTGAGGGATTTCATACAAAAATAAGTGTAATCTGCTGCTATTTTGCAATATCAACACAATTTTTTGATTGAAATGATCCCTTTTGTTTGCATAAAATATTTTTTGTCATCTAAATGGGCTTTTAAGCGTTGCTAATGACGAGGTGAATGTTGGGCAACATATACAAAGTGTTTTACATCCTAGCTTAAACCAGTTCTAACTTCAAACCCCAAACTGAAACCGAAAACTGTAAGTCACTGTGTCTGTTTTCTAATGATACCAACAAAAAAGAAAAGAAAAAAAAAAGGAGCAGAATCAAAAACACACAAATGCCCCGGCTCCCTGGAAACGGGGGCCTCCGCCGTGGCATGCAGGTCGACAGGAAAACGCTCTTAAGTGATTTTTCTTCTTCCTCCGGAGGGAAAAGAGACGTTTGAGACGGGGTCCTCCCTCTCGGGCAGGTGGTTCTGATAAAGACCCCCGGGCCCAGATGGAGACAGGCCCGACCCGGCCCGTCCCCTGGTACCAGGCCTAGGCGAGAACAAAGCATCCCCGCGGGGCCTTAATGAGACGGGTCCGGTGTCGTGTGGAGCCGGGCTGTCAGGTCCGCCCAGATCCAGCGGATTGAGTGACTGACCGGGCGGGCGACCCGGATACCCAAACCCCCAACGGAGGCCCGGTTTTTTAGCGTGTGAGAACCAAAGCGGAGCGGCAGGAGGAGGGCGAGCGGTGTTAAAGATCAAGCCGAGTCAAGTTGTGCCCACAGTTATGGGAAAACTATGGAGAGAGCTCATTATCAGATGACCCTTTCAAATGATTCATTCACTAAGAAATCAAGATTTCTGCCTCCAGTGTCGTGAATCCATTCGTTTCTATGTTTTACTGTGGAGAAATATTTTTTGGGTTTATGTTTCATCAACAAAACTTAAACTTAAAGCGTCAGTGATGATGAAAATGATCGTTTCTACACGTCTTCCACTCAATGACTGATACATAAACCACTGATGTATGAAGGGTCCTGGGTGGTATGGAGCAGAAACAAGATTATAGAGTATAGTCATGATCCC